GCTCAGTCCACTTCCTGGGGAACAACAGTCCAACTGAAAATCCAGATAAATGTAGTTCTGCCCTCCTTGGGCTGTGTGGAAGTTCCCTGCTCTTCACCCCTCCTCCCAGGTCCTGCACAGTTTTTCTGTGCTCCCTAGGTGGCCTGCTGCCTGCATGGGTTTTCTCCCAGGATGCTCTTTCCCTGCTACCACCCTGTGATGCTGGCAGACCAGGTACCAGCTCATGTCAAGGCCCCAGGCCTCACTGAACACTGATCAATGCATAGGTGGAAACTAGTCCTGCTCACCTGTTTGTTAGTAATGTTACGATCGATATTAGAGTTGTGAGAATGTGTTTGATGGTTAGACCTTATGAATAGCTTGTCAGATGCTTCATGCGTTAGTCTCACTTATCTGTGTTCCGTGTTATAAAGCAATAGCAACGTTTGCATTGTAAACCTCTGTAACTCCGCAAACAGGAAAGAAGCCTCTGATTCAAATGCTGGCTTCCTACAGAAGATGTTAAGTCTGGCCCAATGAGAAGGACTTTGAAACCAAACAAGCCATTGTAAGACATCAAAAGAGCAAAGACCTTAACTGCACTTCTCACCACTCCAGGAAGAACAGGCCTGCCCATGAACTAAGGATTTACAGGATTAGGTTCCAGGTTTGTAAATTGTTCTGGATGAAACTGACAATGTCTGAGCTGTCAGATCAGAAGGAGCTTCATTTGAAGAAAGGTGGGCAGATGTGTGATAAGTCTTAGCTTCATTGCTAAGATGAGGAACGTATTTTCAGAAAAGTTCTTGGCAGATTCCTGAGGCAGCTGGTTTAAGGCCATTTAAGGTGTTATAACCTTCATAGAATCATAGAATATAAGGGTTGGAAGGGACCCCAGAAGGTCATCTAGTCCAACCCCCTGCTCGAAGCAGGACCAATTCCCAGTTAAATCATCCCAGCCAGGGCTTTGTCAAGCCTGACCTTAAAAACCTCTAAGGAAGGAGATTCTACCACCTCCCTAGGTAACGCATTCCAGTGTTTCACCACCCTCTTAGTGAAAAAGTTTTTCCTAATATCCAATCTAAACCTCCCCCACTGCAGCTTGAGACTCCTCGTTCTGTCATCTGCTACCATTGAGAACAGTCTAGAGCCATCCTCTTTGGAACCCCCTTTCAGGTAGTTGAAAGCAGCTATCAAATCCCCCCTCATTCTTCTCTTCTGCAGGCTAAACAATCCCAGCTCCCTCAGCCTCTCCTCATAACTCACTTATAGTTCTCTCACCCACAAAGCTGGAAAATGAGACATTTTGTTTTCTTTGTTTTGCTGCTCCAGTTCCAGTTAACAAAATGCATTTTAGACTAGTTTGGCTGCAAAGAAGAATTCTGTGTACACTGGGGACAACACCTGATTCCTGTCAGGCTGCAGAACTGGGCTGACAGCAGAATCCAAACATCCTCTGGTCAGTGCAAGCAGAGGCATTCCTCTAATGGTTTGGACTTGATGTGATGCAATATGACTGTCATGGATAATTCAGACCAATGGGGAGAAACAGAATAAAAACACTGTTTAAACACCTTCTGTTCCCCGCCCTCACTCTTGAGGATTCCTAACTAACTTAACAGCACAATACATATGCTAACAAATGTAAACAAAGGCTTTGTTTAAGTTTGTTAGCATATGTATTGTGCTATTAAAGCCATATGAAGAATGAATGCCTGGTTAGCCCTAAGTCTTTCTGGTGCCCCGTACCCGCTAAAAATCTCTTGCTGGTATGGTGTACTGGAGGGACCACCCTACTTGCCTTACTGTGTGTATCTAACAGAGAGACGATACAGTATATTTTGCTAGAACTCTGAATGGAAACATTAGCTCTTATGTGGATTTGACAGCTTGGGAAAGATAAAATCCTAACTTTAAAGAGAAACTATCCATTTTCATTAGACAGGCCCTGGGAAATGTTGACAGGTTAGAAGTACCTGTCCAAATGAGAGAACTCAGAAATATGGAAAACTTATTTGACATCATCTTTTGAAATGGTAAGTTTCTGAACTGAGCATAATAGATACAATTCCCTGCTTCTGCACTCCATGGAATCAAGGGGAGTGTGACAGGGTGAACACACCCCACACTGGACAGGGAAGGGTTAGCTCCTCACCGTGGGCGGAGAAGCATGCCCCCACTTCCTTACTGGGCATGCTCCAGGTGTAGCACCAATATAAGAGGGAGCAGCCCAGCTCAGTCTGGGCTGACTACCAGAGAGGAAGGATGCTCCTTGCTGGCTCCTGCCCAGGACCAACTGTAGCCCTGTAACTGTGGAAGCCAGGGGGTGCCGAGCTGATGTCCAGCTACCCATGGACGCCACCGGGAGGTCTGAGCTACAGGGAGTTGCACTGACCGAGGAACCCACAGACCCCAAAGAGGCACAGACTGCCACCACGAGTATCACAGTAGGAAGTAGCCTGGGGGGGGGGCCTAGCCAATGTCCCAGTGATGGTCAGCGTGTTGTGGACAGGTCCCCGCCGATGCAGTGTCGGACACGCTTGCCACTGAGAGGGCCCTGGGCTGGGACCCGGTGGAGCAGGGAGGGCCTGGGTCCCCCATCCTTGGTCACCACTCACCCCCCTGGGTGGCAGCACACACATCCCAACTGGCCAGTAGGCCACACAGCCTTGCCCCAGGGGGCTACTCTATTGACTCAAGGCCTCAGTGCCCCTTGAGCCCGGAGTAGTTCTAGTTACACTGGCAGCTAGGCCTAGCTGCCCTGTGAACTAGGGTAATTCTATGGACTCTGGCTCTTAGGCCTTGCTGCCCTGTGCAGAAGGGCTATCTCACTGACTTGGGCCATGAAGCCCTACTGCCCTGTGGATCAGGACGATTATATAGACTCCGGCCACTAGGCCGTAGAGCCCTGCGAATCAGGGCAACTCTATTGACTTTAATCCTTAGGAATCACTGCCCAGACACAGAGGGCAACTCAAAGAATAGGATGAACTCATCCTGTACTGGACAGTGTCTCCCCACTCCGGACGGGGTTCCCCCACCCCGTCACAGGGTGCCTCTTACAAAGGGCAGAATTGTCACACTTTGTTTCCTTGTGTGAATCAGTTTCTTCCCCTACCACATGAAAGGGGATTGCAGGATTTTGCGGCATACAGCAACAGGAATAGCATTAAAATAACAGGCATGTTATCTGGTTGCTTTTCAGCAATCCGCGGCCCCTAGCATAGCACAGCGTGAGTGGCACGGCACAGCACAGGTGAAAAGCAGGTAAGGTAGAATCCTCAGCCAACACCAAACTCTTTGGATAAGGTGGAGTCAGTAGACCAGGGAGACTTAGAAAGGGAAACTGAAAACTAGGGATAATCAGGGTTCTGTGACATACTGTCTCGCACTGGAATGCAGGCCACACTATATTGAGAGTTCCACGGCCCCTGCTGCTTTTATCTTGAGTCTGAACTCCAAAAGCATGGAGCACAAAGCATGGCCAAACCCCAGGCGACAGTAGCCATGGCAGTGCTCCATTTTAGAAGGCGGGGCTCTGGCCTACAGGGGGCGGAGCAGACTGTGATTGATGGCAGGCTCCTGTTGCTGTATTACATAGTTTTTAAATAAAAGCAATTTAATTGTTAAATACAACCTCTCTGAGATGTAAGATGAACACCACCACCCGCCCCATACCCACATTCCCAGAGATATACCAGGGAACTCAGCCTAGCCGATAGCCAATTGGGTGCGTCATTTGGGTTTGGTTCACAGAACTATTAACTAGCCATGAAATCCCAGAGGGTTCACCTAATCAATATTCAGGACAATGCAAAATACAAAACAGGGAGAGAGAACTCCACCATGCTCCCAATCACCCCCTAACTCTTAACAGTCACACATAAGCTCTCTGTGCATGCAGCTGGAATTGGTCTACTGTACGGATAGAGAGCCATGGCACACACACAATACAGCTGTTCCTGCTTGGCACAGGGAGAAAGTGCTGTCCATGTCTTTTGGCACTAATTATAAATATCCTCTATCATAGCAGGCACAATAATTGAGAGAGAAAGAGAACTCTCTCATTTTCCCCCTCCCATCAATCCAGGCTCAGCTTTGGATACATCAGCCTTTCCCACTGATGTATCCTGATGTATCCAAAGGGTGGCAGATTGATAGCAGATTGTGATGGGTGCAGGAGGTAATGTCGGTAATAAATTGTTTAGTCCTTATTACTTTGACAGCATATCTTGGTCTTTTCCTAGTTTGTTTGATGGAGGAGGAAGAGAGAAGAGGAACCTGCCCTGGTTGTGCTCAGACCCTGCTGACAGTGGTATTGTATGTAGGGCTAGTTGAAATTTTTTAAAGAAAACATTTGCCCTCTCCCGGTGGCTAAAGCGGTTACAGTGCCTCCTGGTACTTCCATCACCAGGGTGCATCATGGGAGATGTAATTTGGCCAGTGAGCACAGCCTACAGGAGGGAATAGGGGCCTGTGGGACTCAGAACCACAACTCTCAGAGGCCACTGTGGTCGCTGAGGGACACAGAGCCATTATTGTCAACCTGACCCTAAACAAAATATTTCAGCTCAGGGACGTTGAAAAGTTTTGTTTTGATCAAAAGTGCCGTCATCTTGACTCTTCACCACAATTCAGGTTAAAAACAAATGTCAAGATATCAATTCCTGGCTAGACAGAAATTCTGGTTTTCAATCAGCTTTAACAATAAGGTTGTATTGACATATGATAGCAAAGGAAGTGCTGACAGATACAGAACACAACAAGGTACAGTCCTTCATTACAACTCCGTCAGTATCTGCAGTGTTCTTAAGCCTGATCCAGGAAGACACTTAAGCACTTGCTTAAATTTAAGAAGATGCTTAAAAGCTGTTCTGAATAGGCATACTTCCCTAAATGGAGGCCTTGTCGAATTCAGAACGGTCACAAAGTGTTTCTGTAATGTATTAACTTAAATAGAAGAGCTCACTTGCATAACAATGAGTAAGGCTGGTCCAATGGTCAGTTGCAAACCAGCTGAGCAGCGAACAGCAGAACAGCTAACAAAAGGAGTTTGCCTGGGATCTGCCTGAGAGGAGGTACGCTAAGGGCTGCATTAAGGAGGCTGTGTTGGTGAGTATCTGAGTGTTTGAGTGTTTGTTATGAGGACAGTGTGACTGTGTGCTTGATTGGTTGTTTGAAAAGGGCGGGAACTGGGTGTGCTTTGTTCCAGGTGAGCCTTAAGTGGGCCTGACTGCACAAAAAGCCAGTCAGTTGTGAACCAGCTGAGCAGCTAACAAAAGGAGTTTCCCTGGGAGTTTGCCTGGGGAGAGCCCACTGAGGCTTACATCTTGCCGGATTCTCTGAGTAATTACTACAACTCCTGAGGAAGCTCGTAGAAGGAAGGTAATATGGATGGGGGGTGTTCAGCTGTTGTGACCTGCACTGGATGTGCTATGTTTGTCTTTCTTCCACAGGACAGATGCGACTTTGTCTGTACAAAGTGCAAGCTGGTCTCCATACTGGAAGAGAAGGTTCAAGGTCTGGAGCAACAGGTATCGACCCTGCGTTGCATAAGAGAAACTGAAGATTTTCTGGACGGATGTCAGGATAGGCTTCTATGGGCACAAAGTTCTGAAGATTCAGAGCAGGCTGCACACTGGGGACAGAAGGATGGTGAAGAAGTTTGGCATCATGTGACCTCCAGAAGGAAAAAGGGGAACGTCCATGTACCAGCAGGGCAGATACAGGTAAGTAACCGTTTTCATGTTCTCTCCACAGGTACTAATGCAGAGAGTGGACCAGATGATACGTCTGAGGGAAGGGAGCAGAAGGAGACTCCGCCGATTGGAAGGCATGGGATGCACTGTCCTAGGGTTGGGGGTTCCACGACCACCACTCCCAAGAGAACGAGGCGGGTGGTGGTGGTCGGGGACTGTCTCCTCAGGGGGACTGAGTCCTCTATCTGCCGCCCCGACCAGGAAAACCGAGTCTGCTGCTTGCCAGGAGCTAAGATTCGCGATGTGATGGAGAGACTGCCGAGACTCATCAAGTCCTCAGATCGCTGCCCCTTCCTGCTTCTTCACGTGGGCACCAATGATACTGGCAAGAATGACCTTGAGCGGATCACTGTGGACTACGTGGCTCTGGGAAGAAGGATAAAGGAGTTTGAGGTGCAAGTGGTGGTCTTGTCCATCCTCCCCGTGGAAGGAAAAGGCCTGGGTAGAGACCGTCGAATTGTGGAAGTCAACGAATGGCTACGCAGGTGGTGTCAGAGAGAAGGCTTTGGAGTCTTTGACCATGGGATGGTGTTCCAAGAAGGAGTGCTAGGCAGAGACGGGCTCCACCTAATGAAGAGAGGGAAGAGCATCTTCGCAAGCAGACTGGCTAACCTAGTGAGGAGGGCTTTAAACTAGGTTCACCGGGAGAAGGAGACCAAAGCCCTGAGGTAAGTGGCGAAGTGGGATACCGGGAGGAGGCACGAGCAGGAGCGTGTGAGAGGGGAGGGCTCCTGCCTCATACTGAGAAAGAGGGGCGATCAGCAGGTTACCTCAAGTGCCTATATACAAATGCGCGAAGCCTGGGAAACAAGCAGGGAGAACTGGAAGTCCTGGCACAGTCAAGGAATTATGATGTGATTGGAATAACAGAGACTTGGTGGGATAACTCACATGACTGGAGTACTGTCATGGGTGGATATAACCTGTTCAGGAAGGACAGGCAGGGCAGAAAAGGTGGGGGAGTTGCTCTGTATGTAAGAGAGCAGTATGACTGCTCAGAGCTCAAGTATGAAACTGCAGAAAAACCTGAGAGTCTCTGGATTAAGTTTAGAAGTGTGAGCAACAAGGGTGATGTTGTGGTGGGAGTCTGCTATGGACCACCAGACCAGGGGGATGAGGTGGACGAGGCTTTCTTCCGGCAACTCGCAGAAGTTACTAGATCGCAGGCCCTGGTTCTCATGGGAGACTTCAATCACCCTGGTATCTGCTGGGAGAGCAATACAGCGGTGCACAGGCAATCCAGGAAGTTTTTGGAAAATGTAGGGGACAATTTCCTGGTGCAAGTGCTGGAGGAACCAATTAGGAGCAGAGCTCTTCTTGACCTGCTGCACAAAAACCAGGAAGAATTAGTGGGGGAAGCAAAAGTGGATGGGAACCTGGGAGGCAGTGACCATGAAATGGTCAAGTTCAGGATCCTAACACAAGGAAGAAAGGAGAGCAGCAGAATACAGACCCTGGACTTCAGAAAAGCAGACTTTGACTCTCTCAGGGAACTGATGGGCAGGATCCCCTGGGAGAATAACATGAGGGGGAAAGGAGTCCAGGAGAGCTGGCTGTATTTTAAAGAATCCTTATTGAGGTTACAGGGACAAACCATCCTGATGTGTAGAAAGAATAGTAAATATGGCAGGCGACCAGCTTGCCTTAACAGTGAAATCCTTGCTGCTCTTAAATACAAAAAAGAAGCTTACAGGAAGTGGAAGATTGGACAAATGACCAGGGATGAGTATAAAAATATTGCTCAGGCTTGCAGGAGTGAAATTAGAAAGGCCAAATCACACCTGGAGTTGCAGCTAGCAAGAGATGTTAAGAGTAACAAGATGGGTTTCTTCAGGTATGTTAGCAACAAGAAGAAAGTCAAGGAAAGTATGGGCCCCTTATTGAATGAGGGAGGCAACCTAGTGACAGAGGATGTGGAAAAAGCTAATGTACTCAGTGCTTTCTTTGCCTCTGTCTTCACGAACAAGGTCAGCTCCCAGACTACTGCACTGGGCAGCACAGCATGGAGAGAAGGTGACCAGCCCTCTGTGGAGAAAGAGGTGGTTAGGGACTATTTAGAAAAGCTGGATGAGCACAAGTCCATGGGGCCGATGCGTTGCATCCGAGAGTGCTATAGGAGTTGGCGGCTGTGATTGCAGAGCCATTAGCCATTATCTTTGAAAACTCATGGCGATCGGGGGAGGTCCCAGATGACTGGAAAAAAGCTAATGTATTTCACATCTTTAAAAAAGGGAAGAAGGAGGATCCTGGGAACTACAGGCCAGTCAGCCTCACCTCAGTCCCTGGAAAAATCATGGAGCAGGTCCTCAAGGAATCAGTTCTGAAGCACTTAGAGGAGAGGAAAGTGATCAGGAACAGTCAGCATAGATTCACCAAGGGCAAGTCATGCCTGACTAATCTAATCATCTTCTATGACGAGATAACTGGCTCTGTGGATGAAGGGAAAGCAGTGGACGTGTTGTTCCTTGACTTTAGCAAAGCGTTTGACATGGTCTCCCACAGTATTCTTGCCAGCAAGTTAAAGAAGTATGGCTGGATGAATGGACTGTAAGGTGGATAGAAAGCTGGCTAGATTGTCGAACTCAACGGGTAGTGATCAATGGCTCCATGTCTAGTTGGCAGCCGGTATCAAGTGGAGTGTCCCAAGGGTCGGTCCTGGGGCCGGTTTTGTTCAATATCTTCATAAATGATCTGGAGGATGGTGTGGATTGCACCCTCCGCAAGTTTGCAGATGACACTAAACTGGGAGGAGTGGTAGATATGCTGGAGGGTAGGGATAGGATACAGAGGGACCTAGACAAATTGGAGGATTGGGCCAAAAGAAATCGGTTCAACAAGGACAAGTGCAGAGTCCTGCACTTAGGACGGAAGAATCCCATGCACCGCTACAGACTAGGGACCGAATGGCTAGGCAGCAGTTCTGCAGGAAAGGACCTAGGGGTTACAATGGACGAGAAGTTGGATATGAGTCAACAACAGTGTGCCCTTGTTGCCAAGAAGGCCAATGGCATTTTGGGATGTATAAGTAGGGGCATTGCCAGCAGATTGAGGGACGTGATCGTTCCCCTCTATTCGACATTGGTGACCCCTCATCTGGAGTACTGTGTCAAGTTTTGGGCCCCACACTACAAGAAGGATGTGGAAAAATTGGAAAGAGTCCAGCGGAGGGCAACAAAAATGATTAGGGGACTGGAACACATGACTTATGAGGAGAGGCTGAGGGAACTGGGGATGTTTAGTCTTCCGAAGAGAAGAATGAGGGGGGATTTGATAGCTGCTTTCAACTACCTGAAAGGGGGTTCCAAAGAGGATGGCTCTAGACTGTTCTCAGTGTTAGCAGATGACAGAACAAGGAGTAATGGTCTCAAGTTGCAGTGGGGGAGATTTAGGTTGGATATTAGGAAAAACTTTTTCACTATGAGGGTGGTGAATCACTGGAATGCGTTACCTAGGGAGCTGGTGGAATCTCCTTCCCTAGAAGTTTTTAAGGTTAGGCTTGACAAAGCCCTGGCTGGGATGATTTAGTCGGGGATCGGTCCTGCTTTGAGCAGGGGGTTGGACTAGATGACCTCCTGTGGTCCCTTCCAACCCTGATATTCTATGATTCTGTGATTCTATGAATGATTGTGCCACTAGCCCAGGTCCTGGGAGATGTAGGTTCAAGTCCCTGCTCTGCCACAGACTTCCTGTGGTGTCTTGGGTCAGTCTCTGAGGAGGTGTCTACACTTCAGAGACTATGTTGTACAGAGAGCTAGATCAGCATGCCCCCATAGTGTAGACGCAGCCTCCGGAGACAGATGGGTTCCCCCTTCCCCTTGTCAGTGTAGGGACCTCCCCAAACGATGGTAGCTAGGTCAACGGAATCATTCTTCTATTGACAGAGCTGCGTTTACACATGGGTTACATCGGAATAGCTATGGCAGTTGGGGTGCGGATTTTTCACACTCCTGACCAACAAAGCTATGTTGACCTAACTTTTAAGAACAGGCCAGGCCTGAGTCATCTGTACAATAAGGTGGCCATACAAGTTAGATGGATAATGATGAATAGAACTCACTTTTTTTCTTGGCCATAATGTTTCCTTCACATTGCTTACCAAGAGCGATCTCACTGGAGTCATTTAAACCTATGATGTAAACCTGAGCCTGCCAGGTGCATGGGAGGGAGGGTCATGTGCCTTGAGGTGACTGCAACATACTGAAGAGTTCTGTCTACACAACTCATTGCGGCAAGCTCACCACACTGCAGTTCTCTCCCTTTATCTACCAGCTGGTTCTTCCCATGACCCACCCATACCCTTTGTAGCCAGAAAGGATTTTGTGATTGGGGTCACAGCAAGAAACTGCAGCTAGTGCTGGTGCTGTGCAGCTTGCTGAGGGGGCTGGCAGGAAAAGAAAGGGGGTAGGGCACTGCATTTAGGTCAGGATTGGTGTTTAAAAAAAAAAAAAAGGCAGCGCAGAGATGATAGGCTTTCCTTCCTTCTGCTCCTTCCTTTCTTTGTCCCGGCTCCTAGTGATTACAGCATTTAGCCATTTAACCCTTGCTTCTCCAGGCACCCCAAAGTGGCCAGTTCCTGGGACATGCCTTCCCAGCTAGGAAGTCCTATACAAAGGATGCTCAGCATTGGCCTAACTCTGCCCCCCAGTGAAGTCAGGGGGGAGATTTACCGGAGCAGAATAAGGCCAACATTGAGTGCTACTGAAAATCTGGCCCTAGGCCGCTTTTTAAAGATGTGTACCTGTGTAAAACTTAGATAAGGGGGCCCCTCATCAACAACAAGGCCCAACAGAGAAAGTTACTGTGCCAAACCACATGTCAACACCGGAGTTTTATTTGGATTTATCCCCATTAGTATCAGCACAGAAAGGACTTCAGTAGTTAAGATAGCAACTTCCAGACTATCCGCCTACGGTGCTTTCAAAAGAAGAGTGAAGGGTGCTTCTGGGGTACTTCCCCCCCGCCTTTTACAATAAGGGCTATGGAACGCTCTGCTAGGTTCTGCGGGATCTGCCAAAGGCATCAGACCTGTCAGAGTTAGTCTTTAACACCTGCCCCAAGTGGAAATAGACGTGACTTGTACATGTACAGGGACCTTAATGAAACAGTTAAAAATCAAACCCAGGGTGAGGCAAGGTTTGAAGTCAGATGTTATCAGCTCATTGTAGTCTGATAAATTGTATTAGATGAGCATAGAAAAGGACAGGGCATGCTGTCAGGGTCACATAGTAACACTAATTGAACGTGATTATACATCCAGCCATTAGTGCTTGGTTTAGGTGAGCTAAAAAGCCACCCTATACTAGCTTTGTCAAATAATTAGTCAATCCCATTTCCTATCACTTCGGAAAGTCTGCTAATTGGCCTTGAGAAAGCACATAACCTCAGTGTCCAGGCCCATATGAACCTGTGCTCTGTGGCTGTATCTCTCTCAATAGATTTATTTCCTAGAAATGCTAGAGTCTATCACATCCTGAGCCTGATCCAAAGCTTGGAAAAGACAATGAGAATCTTTCCAGTGACATTAAGGTCTATCTGCCTGCACTGTGTGCATGTAGGGCCATGAGGGGGCTGGGCTTGGGGCGCTGCTGCCTAACGGTGAGGTCAGTGGGTCCCAGCTCTCCCTGGTCTTCAGCACCCTTTGCCAGCAGTCAGTTTGGTGCTGTGGTCATCCCTCTTCCGGTAGGTAATGAATCAGCCCTCCGGCCAGGTCACTAGTGAGTTTGCCGCCTTCTGGGGTAACAAAAAATATATGCCCAATGTCCCCCCAAAAGGAAGAGTCTTCAGTTCACCTCCAGGCCCCTGCAGGCTGCTTACCTTTGCCTCAGGACTTACGTATCTATCCCCCCTGCTTATCTCCGGCGGGGGCAGGAAGAAGGGGTTTGTTTCTGCTTCACCTGAGGGCGGCTGGTAGAGGAACCTGGGCCCTCCCTCTCCCCCTGGCTCCATTGCAGGGCCCTATGAGCGGCCACAATCTCAGGCACCCAGCAGTGCTCCGAGGCTGCCTGTCTGGGCCACTTCCTGCCACTCTCTTTCCCAGTCCAGGGCATGATCACAGTCTCACAACCAATTCTTTGTTGTATTCACCGCCTTGTGTCACTACTAACACACGTAATTTTTTCGGTAGGACTGTTGTCATATATGCTAACAACTGACTGGACTGCAAATGGATTCCTTGAGTAGGACAGGGGATTTTGGAATTCTTGCCGTCAGACACTTGAAAAAGGACCTGATTTTCAGAGGAAAGATGCTCAATGGAGACCCTACAACTGGAGAGCGTCACTCTCTGCTGCTCCTACTGCTAGATGGTTAGACAACAAGGCCATGCAACAGAGGCAGGTTTGTCCTGATGGCCTGGCTCTGTGATCCCAGGCTTAGTCGTGGCTGATGAGTGAGTTGAAATACACAGGAGGGTCGGAATGACCTTACTTTGCCACTGGTGCTGCAGGATAGGGCTAAAGAAGCTGAAAGTTACCATTGAAGATGTACCATCTTGAAACCCTTGCTTCCTTTTTATGCTCTGCAGCCAGCAAGAAACCGGCAGGTGGCTATGTATTTTGGAGAGAGGGAAATAAAAGAAAGCTACTGAAGACTTATTGTTTTCCCTAGAAGCCATGGTTCCTTTAAATGTGCTTCCCTGTGCTACGTACAGAAATCCAGACTCCTGGCATCTGGGATTCACTGTAGTTTCTAGAGCTCTGCATCCCTTTAGATGATTCCAGGAGAGGCAATATTTGGCAATGACTCAAACAGACATGCTCTGGTCATGGATACTGCAGGGCCCTGATACGACTAGGCAAGCCAAGGCAATAAAACGAAAGATATGACTGTACCAGCCATTATACATTACCATATTTAACATACTGGTTGCTCTATCTTCTTCTGATTCACAGACCCTAAAGATGCAATCTTCATGGGCTTTGCGCACTAGCCTCATTCCCATTGAAATCCAGGGGCTTTTACCACTGACTTCCATTGGAGAGGAGTTAGGCCAACGCTGAGCTGTTTTGAAAACCCATCCCCAGAAATTCACTGAAGGTGAATGCACATGAAACACAGATAAGCAGTGAGCCAAGAAAGCTCATCTGTCTCTAGACCATGGCCCGCTATCCCACCTGGATCCAGTGTGTGCAGCTAGATCCCTTCCCAGCTTTTGTCTCCTCGTTGGCGGGAAACATCTAATCTCACTCAACAGGTATCAGAGCCACTAAGTGGATTCAATCCAGATACAGGCAGCCCAATGGAACCTTGTGTTCATAGGTCATGTGGTCACAGGTCCTCATTGTTCTTTGACTCTTTGTAGCCGCAGCCTCTGGCAGCTAAGCTTTGGCTAGCTTGGAATGCAAGAATAAGGGAATGCTTTAGGGGAAGGAAAGATTCCCTGCCACCTACCTTGATTGTGAGCTCTAGTGACACTGACAGCCATGGCTTTTAGAGCCCGTGTTAACTGTAGTTAACTATGGAGGAAAGGCAGCTTTTTTTGCTGTCAGCCAGCACCATTGTTTAATATAGATTTAAAGCTCTAAAAATTTGGCAAAGTCTGCTGCTGTTTTATAATGTCACACTCTTGGCAAAGTAACTGTGTTGCTATAGTGATCTCAAATTACTACTAGAATGAAATTTTACTTGTGGCTAATTTAGCGCTCGCCTGGCTCAAAACCACTTTGTCAACTTTCTTTTTTTAATCTTGAAAACACTGTTTGATTCTTCATAAACATTTTCTCTGTCTCTCTATTTCCCCTCAGTAGCTCTGGGTTTTGGGGTTATTTTGTAACATGGCATTTCAATACATAGCTCAGAAAGGAAGATGGCCATTTGGTTAAATCACTGGACTTAAATCTCAGGAGACTGGGGTCAATTCCAGCTTCTGCCACGGATTCTTTGTGTGACCTTTGGCCAGTCACTTAATCTGTCAGGGCCCCAGCCCCCTGTCTTTTAAATGGAGATACTCCCCAAGGTTGGAAATCCTGCAGGCTAAGGGCTGTCTCTTACTGTGTGTTTGGGATAGTGAGGTGCTGATCTTGACTGACCCTTTCAGGTGCAGCTGTAAGACATACTGAAATGCAAAATAAATTTAAGTTCTGAGCCTGACTTTGAAATCACTAGATATTCAGACATTTCTACGTACGCTGATGGCTCTATGCACTGACCACTGCTTGGCATGAGAGGCTGAAGCTTTGCCAAGGGGCAGGATAAGCCCAGACACCAATAAATAGTCTTTGGTACAGAATTCAGAACCTGCCTGCTTGCAGCTAATTTCTACAAATCAATCCATCCCTATCCCTGCAGCCCATCCATCAAGGTAGCCCCTATTTGCAGCAGAGATCTGCCTCTGGAGATGCTAACTTATTCCATCTCCATCCACTCAGTTCATCCACCCTTTTGTGATGTAGGAGATAACCTTTCAGAAGGTAAAAGAAAAGGAGTACTTGTGGCACCTTAGAGACTAACCAATTTATTTGAGCATAAGCTTTCGTGAGCTACAGCTCCCTTCATCGGATGCATTCAGTGGAATGAACGCATCCTTTTCTTTTTGCGGATACAGACTCACATGGCTGCTACTCTGAAACCTTTCAGAGGGAAGCATCTCTGAAACAGACTCCACCTTTTCTGTGCTCCACTGAGAGTGCATGCAGGTGGGAAGATGTCACCTAAGTCCATCCCTGCTCCTGAACTGGCAGCTCAGGCCCACAGCATGTTCTGCTGGATGCCCTTGTCCAACTCCTGTTCAGAGCGCTCCATTCCCACTGGCTGGCTGCCGAAGTGGGGCTGGATCACCCTCCTGCCGACCTGAAGCGGGGCTGGATCATCCTCCTGCTGACCTGCCTGTGTGAGGATCTGTCAGAGAGGTGGGGTTTGCCCTGCTTGGATGGCCCCGAGGGTGGCCAGGGGAGAGAAAAGGCTCAATGGAAAACAACGGAGGCCCAACTTTTCCAGTTAAGCTCAGTGGGTCTATGTACACGCCTTCATGCTACTCAGCCTAGGAGTGCATGGCAGTGGAGAATCAGGGGCAGAACTGGTAATCCAGATCTCTTATCAGACGTGATTCACTTGATTCAGGAATTGCTGGGTGAGTGCCCCTGGCCTGTGCTAAGCAGGTGGTCAGACTAAACAAGCATACTGGTCCCCTCTGGCCTGAAAAATCTATACATCTGTATGGTCTCCAGATGCAGGGAGCAGCCTCTGCTGGGTCCATATGGATGGTCTTCTGTACAGAAGCAGAGAGAGGACAACCAGCATTACTCCTGGGGGAATTTTGCATCACTGTGTGTGCGCAGAATTCATGGCACCCGCAGATTTCTTTGCTTCCCCACAGAAAAACGAATTCTGATGGGGAAGCAAAGGAAAGCTACAAGAGTGGTCATGCGCCCCTCCCCTGCAGTGCAGGCAGCTTGGTTTGAGTGCCCAGAGCAGCCGGTAGAGCCGTAAATCACCACCAGGTGGGGGTTGGGGGGCTGGGCAGTCGTGTGTGTGGGAGAAAAAAAAGACACTGTGTCCCTCTCATTTGCTATTGCAGCATGTTTGGCGTGGAGGGGCAGGGCTTTAAGGTGTTTCTGAGGAGGTAGGTTCAGGGCAGGCTCTGTCCCCTTCAGGCAGAGCAGAATGTAGCAGCCTGCCTGCTTAGTGAATTGGTCCCATTGTTCTTAGTGAATTCTCCCAGGAGTATGAAAAAGGTGTAAACATTTTAAGGCTCCTTTACATTGCCAGAGTGGTGTAAAGGATCCTTATTGTAAACAACAGTGTGGCCTTATAAATTCTTATGGTGCTTTAGTGATTAGAACTGGTCTAAATTTTTGGTCTGAAAAAATTTCCCAACAAAATGTGCTCCATGAACTGTTTGCTACTGACCTTTCTGGAGATGGTCAGTAGCCAATATAAATTGTGAGTTTTTGATTCTCCAGCCCTCACTTGCTCTTCAGTTACCTATGATGTAACACTGAGCATATGGCTGCATATATTTGTTGACTGATAACTAGAAGTAAAGGGTCAATACTAGCTACATTACTATTAGACTGAGGGGGTTTGGGAATTTCCTCCAATGTTCCCCACTCCCATTATCCATCCATCATATTGTAGTTTAAATAAATTACCAAAATAATTGAAACCGGCATGATTATACTGCATTTTTTTGACAAATAAAATATGCAGAATTTTAAAATATTGTATGCAGAATTTTTAGGCACAGAATTTTTAATTTTTGGTGCAGAATTCCCCCAGGAGTAAATCAGGCTAAGTGGTGTACAGGCGCCCTGCCCCAAGGAGCTTTCATCCTAAAGGGACAGGATGAAAGGAGAGTGTCATTTTCTAGATAGGACAGTAAGGCACAGAGAGGTGGAAGGATTGTTCTGGGGACCTGAAGCAAGCCCTTTTGAGTTCTAGTCTAGGCCACCCTCCCTTTCTCCAGGGTCATGCTTCTGTCAAAAGACCAGGCTCCAGAAATAAAGTAGCCTCAGCAAGAGAGCAATAATAACAGTTAATAATTGAACCCTGACCTGTTGATGGTAATGCTCCTATGTGGGCAACATTTGGCATATTTGTAAGTGATGAGTTTTTTATTATTTGAAACTGCATTTGCATGTGTATTTTTAAATTATGCACCAACATTCCATGCTGAGTGTGATAATACAAGGAGTTAAATTTATTCCCTTGCAAAATCTTTGCACTCCACCAATAAGCAGATGAGATGAGCAGAATGATTCTGCCGCTGGCAAAGTCTTAAGTGTTACATAATTCCTCTCATTGTTCTCCAGTCACTATTGGTTACAATGCAATGCATTGAACAAGTAGCAGGGTTTAAAGCTGAAATGACTGCTGCTGGTATCTTTGCTGCAAAAGAAGAGTTAGTGGTCTGTATTAGACTGGCTCTGTCTTGCTACATGCCCTGTGGCAAGTCACTTCATCCGCTAGTGATGTTAATGTGAGTCTTTCCATTGACTCCAGCAGCTTTGCATCAAACCAATAATGAATGAACCAAGGCTCCTGGAGAGGTGCCCATTGCAGCATGGTTTGTATTTGAAAGAGAGGCCCTCCAGCACTCATGGCATTCCCTTACCCATATAGTTGCCAGTTTTGGCTGGATGTATTACTGGAGGTTTCATCACATGACATGATCTTTAATTAAAGATTCATCTTTAATTCCTGGAGACTCCAGGACAATCCTGGATGGTTGGCAACCCTACTTACCATGGCCTGGATGTTTGTTGCAGGCTGGAGTCTCTATTGCTTTCTTGGTTCCCCCCCACCATGGGGGAGGGGAGGTAGCCCTGAAATCCTGCAAAGTCCACAGATCTGCCTGAAAATCAGGCTCTGCCCACTGCGATCTTCAGGGCTGCTCTGGAGGGCTCACAGGAGCCATTTGTGTTGTCTAGCCCTTCTGTGCTGTTCTGTGTCGTCCCTCCAAAGGGGCCCATGCAGGGGACCTCAGTGCTGCCTGTTCCTTTCCAGTAGTCGCAGGCTGTATGGTCCCCACTTAGACGCACACAGCTGACAGCGCACCGAGCGACAAGCACGGGGATGAGAGCTGTGCGGGTGAACCCTAGACACTTGCTTTGCTGAACCGCAGCAGTTCTGATAGCTGCCAGCTAGGAGC